CCCCCCCCCCCCCCCCCCCCCCCCCCCCCTTTCTTCCCTCTTCCGTCCCCTTTCCCCCCCTCCCCTGCCCCCGTCTATCTCCAACGATCCATCTTAGCCTATGAGTGTGCTAGGGATTTGGAATCTTTGCTGGGTACCACATACAGCACGTCAGCGATGACAGTTTTATTTCTATGGTCAAAGCTGCTGCTCACGTCGCATGTTATTGGTTTAGGATGCTTTTTCGGTTCGTCTTCAAGCGATACTTCTCATCACTTTGCCTATCCAGCATTAAACATAGGGACAGGTGTGTTGGTAGTTAATCATAAATAGATTTACCTCGAGGCACAAGCCCATATTGCGCGACAAGCATTTTGCCCTGTTTGCTTATCGAACTCTACTGTATTGGCAATTTTTTTGAATCCCAACAGTTCTTTTTTTTTTGAATTTTTTTAGCTACTTTCTTTGATTTTTTTTTTTTTTTTTGAACTACAACGCATTTGAATTTGACAAAAAATCGAGTGAATACGATGGTTTTGACATATTTTTTTCGACAGGGAGTGAAGGAGCTAATTTCCGGTTTAAGATGCCATTCGGTATTTGTGTTCAGCTTGTATTTGATTCTCATACAGCATTTCACGCTGGATTCATGTGTTGCAGATGATTTAAGCCAGCAACAGGATGCGGCACAATTTGATTGAACCTGGCGACAATGAGGACATTACGGCCGAACGTCGACGTGCATCATTTTCGGTTGGAAAATTGGCTTCGTTCATACATGGTGGCGAACAGAAACTTCGGCGAAGACGAGAAATATTGGAATTTGTGGAATCTCAAGAGGAGTTCCGAGATCCGATGCCACCCGAATTCATGAGTCGTGAAGAACGAGTTGAAAATAATGCACGAAAGGTTTGTGGAGAGTCTTTTTTCTTGTATCAAATTTAATTTGGACATGTGATTCTGCTGCTAGTTCCGAAATTCTTCAGGAACTCCACGGTCAAATCTTTTAGGCATTAACTAGAGACTAGCGTTTTCGCGCAAAAATAGGACTGTTTACAGTAAGGTCAAAAAAAACCTTTGGAGTTGTCCAGGTCGCTTCCACGGCGTTGTTGCTACGAATGACTTAAATGCCATAAAAATCAAAGTGCCTGGAAAATGAGAAGAAAGAAACTGCAATAATTCGCCCCATAAGCAAACATGAGATCTGCTCAAGCAAGGCAAAGTTTACAGCATTCGAACAGCTATTATTGCGTAGTCGTTTTTTCGGATGAGCTCTGATTAAAGTAGCCGTTACCTTCAGAAAATACCTGCTGCAATACTGCCTTTTAAATTGGGCAAGGACTTTTGGAGGAAGGG